ATTATTATACCATAATATTGAGATGTTTCTATTTATAAACAGACAGGATACTTCAGTTACCATTTGTATGGAATAATGAAACTGGCCTTCTTCAGGTGCTAGTTCCCTTTTATGTGCAGAATAAAGAATTATGTACTAAGCAATGTCCTGCTTTGCTTTAAAGTGCTCAGTGAAACTATTTTGGCTATTGTAAAATTAATGAGAAAATGTGGCTCAGCTCCATTTTCTTTGACTATGATGTAATTACAGTAAATAAATAAACAATAGCCTCCATTTGGTGCAAGAATATGCCGGGATATTCGTCTGCGGACATTACCTGTTCCGAGAGGCGAACTGTTCTCTGAGAGCGTAGCTTGAGGAAAACTGTGAGCTTTGAGGAACAGGTAATGTTCAAGGACAAATATCCAAGCTTATTTTTGCACCAAATGGAGGCTAAGGTGTTTATTATCCTTCAAATATTTTTTGCAACATGTGCAGTTTTGAAAATTGGGGAATATCTCTAGGATATTCCCCAGTTTTAGTTGGGGTATGTTCAGTCACATGATGCACTTAGAACAATTGCACACAAGTGACCATATTTGATGGATTATAACTACCAACATGTTTCATGCGAAGTTGGGATTTACAAAGCTGCTGAAGTCGAGGTGTGAATAAAATAAAAAAATGACAAGTGGATAAAATCAAGATCCTCAGGCTGTTTTAAATGATACAACACTGTCATATGCAACAAGCTTAATGTAAGTCTATGTAAGTCTACTTAACAAAACCGCTTTATCACTGGTTAAAACCCATTAAAAACTATTTCCAACCTATAAGAAGCCATCATTGTTGTCAATTCACAAATGATCAAATACCAAATTACTTATAACTAACCCTTATCTTATCTGCTTCATGTTTGCTATTTCATTAGCACATTAAAATTTGTCCTCTAGTGGTGATGTTAAAAGTTTCTTTTTATATGGCCTTATTATACACACTCTGATTGGCTAATTTTAGGGCAGTATTCTCCCATAATGCCCAAGCGCCGATTACGGGCCTGCAAAAACACAGCAAAAAGCCATTAATTGTTGTAATAAACAACTTATTAACAAACGTTCAGTCTATGGGAAAATCTTGAACCTCAGCCTTGCCACATTGACCTGCAAGTTCTCGGTCCGAGACTTTCCCATAAAGATCTCACTCTTATTCAAGTACTCTTGGGACTAAATAACTTTCTGTGCTGAAACTTTGGTTCAAAAATAGATTTCTATTGATTTGCCTGTGGTTTAAAGGGGTATCTGCTAATTTCCATTTGAAGTAATGCAAAGGATTCATGAAAAAAACTTTCCGATTATATTGATTAACTAGAACATTTAAATAATACACAAGAAAAAAATTGCTATTACACAACATGAAATACAAGATCAATGAATGCAAGACAGAATCCACAGAAATTTGGGTACCATGCAAGTACGTTACTTTGCTATAAAACTAGTTAAATTTTCCTAATAATTACTTTTAATCGAAGACATAAATCTTTAAATCTAGGAACCTATTTGNACCATGCAAGTAAGTTACTTTGCTATAAAACTAGTTAAATTTTCCTAATAATTACTTTTAATCGAAGACATAAATCTTTAAATCTAGGAACCTATTTGTACTCTTAAACCATGGAAATAAGGGCTATAATACCTTCCATAAAAGCGCTGTAAAGTCTGACAAATCCCTCCCCAACTTCCACCCCAAGATGGTAGTTAGAATATTTTCTGATCAGACAGAATAAAGTGGTGAAGTTGTTGGTTATTTGCTTTTGCAGGTGACATTTATGCTGATTTGCTGGCAGGGAAAAAAGTCACTATAACCCTTAACAGAGCTTTCAATATTTAATGATAAGAGCTCTTCCTGGAACATATACAGCAAACGATATTTTGTATGGCATTAATCTGCAACATTATTAATTCTGGCCGTGACCACTCACTAGCCAGGAAGATTTTCTACATTATGGAAATTTTACATCAAAGCGCATTTATTTAGCACCATGTCTTGAAAATTGTTGCACTGTATATTCAATTAATTACTCAGACCCAGCTGTAGTGGGAAACTGGTGGTGTCTCTAGTCAAACATTTTTGTCCTTGTCTTGAACTTGTACAAGTCGTGGTTGGTCAACATACTCGTTACCAAAGTACAGCACAACATACAATGTCATCAGGACAGCGCCTCCCCAAAACAACACGTAAAGAAATTGTACACCATACTCAGCTGCAACAAGAGGTAAAATTCAAATCAGAAAGACAGTTTACTCAAGGAGAGTTATCTCTTGTGGGCTACCACAAGTTACATGGTGTAAAAGCAATTGACGTAATTTACATGCTTGGGTAGTTTTAAACTTATTGTTGAAAGTGACTAAGAATTATGTTGATTTTGCTTTACATGTGTATTATTTTGCATAATTAACAAAAATTGCACCACTTTATCAACCAATCAGATTTAAAACCAAAATCAATCTGACCTGGTCATGTGCATTTCACTGCACAAGGAAACAACAACATGTATTTGGAAGCTTATTGTTCTCACTGTTTTTTT